GTCTATAAAAGAAGGTAATGTAGTAAAAAAAGAATAAAAGGGTATTAAATTTGGTAAAGTAAAAATGTATAAATTATAAAGGTATATGATTGGTTGAGATTGAATACGATATATCTAAAAACATTGTAATTAGATATAAGAGTGCGGTGAAAGAAGGATAAAAAAAAGTGGTGACCAAGAGAGACAAAAAAATAAATAGCGAGAGGAGAATCAAGAAATAAAAAGTCAAATTAGAAGATATTCAAATTGTAGCCATTAAAATAAGTTTAAAATCAGAAGAATTGCAATAAAATACAGAAGATTACAAGAGAATCCCATAAAATACCAAGAAAAGAACAAGTATTGAAGAGAAGAAGAGTGGTAGAGAAAAGCACAGCACAGCATCAAGCACAGAGGCATTGTGGGACAGTTAAAACCAAATAAGAAAGAAGCAATCAGGGAGAGTCAGGAAATAGGAAAGAATTTATTTGGCAGAAAGGAAAGTCGGTTTAAATCTAAACTGACAGATAAATCAAGAGACTCATAATACTGTCAGGTAATTAAAACATTATTTTCAATTGTCGTAGACACATAGAAAAGGAAAGGCCAGGAGAGGTGACGCAGACAGTGGCAATCTACGGAGTAGAGTAGCAAACAGAAGGAAGAAAAGACAATTTGGAGGAGAGTTCAAACAAGGAAAGGAACGATAGGATACAGGAAGGAGAAGACAGGAAGGATATCACGAGTAAGAAAACACAGACAAAAAGACAACAGAGTGTAGTATAGGTAATCATAAACAAAAATTGTATAGAATAAGGAATTAGAATTTAGTTAGCTCAGGTTAGATAGGGATCTAGGAAAAATTTTTATAAATTTATACTGTTGGTATAATACAAGAAGTTCAATCTCAATTAAACATTCCTATTCTATTTTTTTTTTACAAAAACAAAGAACAAAAATTAATTACCTAATAACTTTCTTCATAATAAATTTCAATAGCTTTCGAACCGACTACTGAGATTTCAACATGCTCTATTAAAATTAAAGTATAATTAAATTATAATTTGAGAGTAATTTTAAAAAAAAAAAGTATATAAAGAATAAAGTTATATTTAAAGATTAAAAATCAAAATTAAGTGCGATATTAAAAGAGCTTGTTTGGGGTAAGTATAGAACATAATTTCTTATAATTTTTAAGAATACTATAGGAAAAATCAAAATTTAAACAATTCAATACATTTCACATATAAAATCGATCTTTATAATACTATAAATTGGCTATAACATTATTTTTTTAAATTCATTACACATAACAAACAAAATTAAATTATCATAAATACAGGGTGTCTCATAATTAGCTGCCAACCCTGAACAGGCCGATTCTATGATCAAAACTAAGTAAAAAAGTTCATATGAACATGGGTCCGGAATTGGATAAGCTCTGAATCACCCTGTTTACGTACATTTATAATTATTATGGGATTTTTAACAATTGTAATTATNAATAGTCAACGCCCATTTCGCCCTTCCACAAATAAGATCCACTTCTTATTTGTGGAAGGGCGAAATGGGCGTTGACTATTAGACGCCTTCATTATAGCCATCCTTGTCTATCACATGGATTTCTATGGCTTACTTTATCGCTCACACGTAACTTCTGATAGACCATCGGTACTTTCCTACACTGTATATTATAAAAATACTGAGAAGCTGTTGAAACATATTGACTTTAGGACTACATTTTATTTTGACCCTTCCAAAATGTACGACATTGGAGATGTAATCGCGCGCATCAGTTGGATGAAAATAAAGCCCTCTGCTTTCCCCTGCCTAGCTTCACCCTACCTATGAGACATACTATGACATGCCTAGTCCCCTTTATTTAAATGTCTTTGATTTATATGGACTAAGCTGTATATCCGGAGCGACGTAATGTTTTCTTTTTAGTCCTGTCCGCGAACTCTTGAAGGATGGGCGCTGGTCTTTCTACTGGAAAAAAATATTATTATGACATTTTGATCTGTGAGGGTATAATTCCTAATTTACAGTGATAAATACTAGATTAGAATAATAATTACTTGTATTAGTATAAATTACCTTCGATCTTCTCAGGTGAAGTGTGTAGATCGTCATCACTGCCCAGTATTTCTACATCGGAGCACCTACCTTCACAATTCAAACAGATTATGGAGCAGTATAACCCAACCCTGCATCCGCAATTGCCCTTGCAGCCCTTCTTGCACTTGCAGGGAAATAGTGCCGAAAATTTGAGGTTTTTTGCAATTTTCCTTGTGAAACCGACGCCTGGCGGAGTGGCAAATCTCAGATTCGGATTCAGCACACCAAAAAAACATATAGAACCGGTGACTTACTGGATTATCAGTTTAGTTTAGTCAGTTTATGAATAGTTTGATATTTTTTAGCACTAACTTCGACATATTTACACACAATTATGCATGAAAAGACAATTAAAATCGTAAAAGAAATCATTCGATTACCTACAGGGAAATCGGCGACTAAACCGACATCGACAGCTAGACAGCTCGCGTGACTAACTGACGCATGACGGCGCCAATGGCTAGGTGTCCGATTGTGACAGCTCTACTCATTAAACAGTTAGTAAAAAATAATTATCCAAAATAAAAATAAGAAATGATATGTCCAAATATAATTAATACAAAAACACATGCCCGATGTGTTGAAATTATTAAATAATGCAATCATTTAAAGAAACATTCTATATCCTTGTTATCACCTTTGACAAAGACTGATCGCGTAAAAAACAACTGCTACAAAGAGATATTTTGTTTCCAGATTTTACTTGAGATTGTTTCATCAGGCCCTGTTGCTGTGTACAAGAAAATCATAGAAACTGCTTTAATTAGATAAGGCAATTCTTTTCTTCTAATCGTTGGGGAGAGTCATTGGTAGTTTAAATCCGCATTTTTGGATCCTACTCCTGTAGCGTCATCCGCAATCTTGAATTTAAGAGAAAAATCGCTTTTATTAAATATTTTTGACAAAATTAGTTATATGTAATTAAACTTGTTGATTTTTTTTTATTGTAACTATAACTTTGACTGACGGCGTTCTGAATTATCTCTTTTTCAAAAAAGAGCTTAGGTATATTGACGTCATAAATAAATAGACTTTTAGACTTCATATTGATGCTTTCAATATTTTCCATCTATACAGGGTGATTCAATCATAATGTCTGTAGAGTTTTGTCACTACATACTTTCACTTGATTTGTTGTGGACTGTAGAGAGTGTACGTTACAATATCAACTGACTATACTGAGTCCTTACCACACACTAAAACAAAAAAAACTATTCTCCTAGAACTAGTACGAGGGCGCTGGCTTGAATGCCACAGATAGGCAACCCTACATACAAATATAAGACTCTACATGCTCCCGGCCTTGACAAGCTACCTATAGCTTTCAAAGAAGTAGAAATATATCTTAAACAAGATTGTCAATGGGTAGTATGCAAAGTTTTCTCACTGCACGCTTAACTATACCTGAACTTGTTTTCACGCTCACCACTCGCACTATGTTGTCCTTTCCACGATACACCTCACTCACTCTGCCAAGCTTCCACTGGAGTGGGGGTAGGTTGTCCTCCTTGAGCAGGACCATGGTGTTGGGTTGAATTTCCTGCGGTGACTGTGAGTTCCATCGGGTTCGATTTTGCAGGTTGGAGATGTATTCCGTTGACCACCTTCGCCANTTTATTCAAATCTACCACCCTCCATATCTCCCGCATTTTTCCTGCAAAGGAGTTAACATAACACATTTTCAAAAAGTTCAAGCTTTAGAAGCAGCTGATTTCCCCAATCGTCTTGAAGTTTGCAATTGGTTACTAAGTGCAGTAGAACTTTATTAATAATGTGCTCTGGACGGATGAATGCTGTTTTCTTCGTGCTGGCATTTTAAACAGGTAAAAAACATAAGTATTGCTTTCTCCAAAACAATAAGTGCCTACCTAGGTTACAGCAAAGCTTAGATTTACACTAAAGTTTATATTTATTATGTAAACTTTGGTTATACGCAACTGCATATTGAATAATAAATTGAAATACTAAAACTGTGTATTATTTAACATAATAAATTATAAAACGTGAAAACGTTAATAATATTAAAAATGATAAATTGTAATAACCGTACATTCGAAAACAATCATCCCTATTCATTACATTCAATTTGATGACACGATTTTCCTTTGATAAAAGACCGACAACTTTTTGCTCTACTTTGCATGGAATACGATCCTACTACAGTTCGTATTAGTCTAGGAGCCAGATCAGGTTCCGTGTACTAGCTATAAAAATAAACTTTTTACAGCCATTTAAACATTTAATTTGTTGATAACAATTAAACTGACCACTTTCAGGCTTTGCGACCAAGTTTTTTGGATTCAGGAGGTCAAAATACTTTAGAATAAGTTGTTTGCAGCCGTGGCACTCTGGTTGGCAACGGAACCCTGTCTGGCTCCTAGACTAAAGTGCACGTGCAAATTAGAAGGTTATTGACCTCGACACAGGTTAGCCTAGGTCGGAAACACGTACCGAGTTGTTTATTTGTCTCCGTCCGATTGTATTTTTATCTTCTATTACTTACAGTCAATATTTAAATACTACATACATTTCACCCTCTCTTTATAATTTATCTAGTGAGTGTTGGTTTTTTATGTCATTATTTCTGTAATGAAATTGAAATGGTTATGAAATGAAATTTAAATTATTTGAACTCTTGGAGTTTTGTAACTTCAGTATTAAATTTTATTTAAAGTGAAACAGAGCTAGTTTCTTTGCAGCCATAATAGTCACATTTGGTCAGATGAAAACCCGCACACTACTCGTCGGTTTAGCTTTCAGAGGAGATTCGGTGTCAATGTATGGGCAGGAGTATATGGCGATCGTTTAATTGGGCCGCATTTTCTACCTGAACATCTGAATGGACCGCGTTACTTTCAATTTTTAGTAGAAGGCTTACAGCAAATTAAAAATTTATCACTATAATGTTAATAGTAAAACGTTTGGCGCACGACAACATGACGAGAGGCACGGTTTTACCTTCACAGTGTAAAAAGTGTAAATCTAATGTTTTAAATGCCATAAGATGCAAAATATGTGAGAGTACTTTTCATCCCAGCTGTGCAAAACTGTACAATGGTGTAAGATTTGCTGAGGACAGTGAATTTATGTGTTGTGATCAAAATATTGCAAATGATGGCGATCCAGCAGTATTTTTTGATGCAATGGAAGAGCTGTGTGGGGCAGAAAAGAAGATAGATATTCATATATGTAAATATGTAGTTCATCAAAAAGATATGCTAATAAAAGAACTACGTGATAAAATCAGCCTCCTTGAAAAGCACATTGATTTAATTAATCAACAAAATGTCGAATATAATCTTATCTGTGCGGAAGACAAGAAACAAGACCAAACAAAAAAGGCCTGTAAGAAATCAGTAACCGATTTAGATAAACAAAAAAGTGTAAATACTCCTGCTGTAAATAAAAACGGTAAACGGAAAACAAAACAATTTTCAAATAAATAATAAGGACGTTGCATTAGGAAATAGGGAGGCGCGTGTACCAAGAAGAATCTTTAGCGAATGCGCCGTGGACAATTTTATTAATGCTATACAGCGTGAGAATTGGCAGGGCCTTTTTACAATTTGCAACATTGACACTGCTTATAATTTTTTTATTATTATCTTCATAATTATTTTAACGTATATTTTCCCAAACGTTTATATAATATATATAACAAAGTTAGTGATAAAAAATGGGTTACTAATGAAATCCGGATATCTAGCATAAAACTAAAAGATTTGTTTCAACTAAAGATTGTTTATCCAGAACTGACTGAATTTTATAATGTCAACAAAATTATACATAATAATTTAGTTTTAAGGACAAAAAAACAATACTATCAAGAAAGAATTAGTAAGTCACACAATCCTGGGAAGACTGCATGGCGTGTGGTGTCAGAGTTAACAAATAAAACCTCATTAGGACAAAGTGTAATGACAATAAATTATAATAACGAACTGACTGTTGATTCAGAACTTATAGCGTCACTATTTTTACATTATTTTGAGGATGAGCCTAAAAAGATAATAGATCAAATTTCCCATAGCAACAGTATAAACAAATTTGTTGATCAAATAAATATCCAAAAAGAATCCATCGTTTTGCATTCATATACTGAAAACGAGTTATTCGGTATTCTAAATGAAAAATTACATAACAAATATTCTTCAGGCTATGATGAAGTACCTGCCTTCCTACTAAAAAAATTTTTATTTATTATTATACATCCTCTAACGTTCTTAGTCAATTTGTCCTTAACTAGTGGATGCTTTCCAGAGGCATTAAGAAATGGAAAGATAAATCCAGTTTACAAAAAAGGGGATTCTACAAATATAAATAACTACAGGCCTATCACATTACCGTCTAATTTCTTTAAAATATTTGAATATTCCTTTTTACATAGATTATTACCATTTTTATATAAAAATAATATATTTTCTACATACCAACACGGTTTCTTAGCTGGTAGATCCACCTCCACGGCAATTCACGCATATTATAACCGTATAATAGAGTTAGTGGACGCAGGAGAGTGCCCTGTTGGGATATTTTGTGATCTCAGCAGGGCGTTTGACTGTGTAAATCACAATGTACTGTTGGATAAACTAGAAAGATATGGTATCCGAGGTGTGGCATTGTTATGGATAAAAAGTTTTCTTTATAATAGAACTCAGTTTGTGTCTATAAATAATGTTGATTCTAATACAGGAAGTATAACAGTCGGTGTACCACAGGGTTCTATATTGGGTCCTGTAATTTTTTTGTTGTATGTAAATGATTTGACCAATTTGTCTACTGCAGTATATTTTACTTTATATGCAGATGATACTTCAATCATTTTATCTGACAAATTGGACAAAATTTTAACTAATAAGTGTAAAGATGTGCTATCAGATATGGGTGAATGGTTTTCACAAAACTTTTTGTATTTGAATCCGGATAAGACTCAACTATTACGTTTTCATTCCAGACAGAAACATTGTGATCCACTTGACATTCCAATCAATAATTCTATTATTCCCAGAGATTCTGATAGTGTGAGGTTCCTCGGTCTACATATCGATGAATGTTTAAACTGGCATTTACAATGCGATAGTTTAATTCAAAAACTTAATAGAGTGTCGTACCAACTAAAAAATTTGCGAAGCGTTTTAAATATTGGTCAATTGATATGTTTGTACTATGCTCAGGTGGTCAAGTCTTAGGTACGGAATATGTTTTTGGGGACTCTCGTCCAATGCTGGTAGCGTTTTTATTGCTCAAAAGAGAATTTTAAGATGTATGTTTGGCCTACCATCTAAAAAAACTTGTAAAGATACTTTTACCTTGTATAAAATTCTAACTCTTCCAGCACTTTTTATATTTGAAATGTGTACATATGTTCTTATAAATAAGAATAAATTCGCATATATTGTGGATACGCATACACACAATACAAGGCAAGTGAACCATTTTCGTGTGCCATTTCACAAACGACTGGTGGCTTATAACTCACCTAACTGTTTAGGCCTAATATTATATAATCATTTAAATGCAGAAATTAAAAAATGTATTACATTAAGATCTTTTAAAATAGCTTTAAAACGATTTTTGATTGAAAAATGCATATATACATTGGATGAGTACTTTGCTACCTGATTTCTGTTTATTCTGTTTATTTTATTTTTATTTTATTTGTATTTGTATTAGTTTGTAAGAATTGACTGTGACTGTTCCTATACAATTAATTGTATTGTCTATTGGATAATAAATATTATATATAATAAAAAATGATTTTTGGCAAGGTATGCCTCCTCGAGGTTCTTGCTGGGCAACAATAACAATTTAATATGTTGATTGCATAATTATAAAAAATAATTTATAGCATTTTAAATTGAGCAAACCGTTTATTCATTGTCTTTATATGAGCGAAAATATATAAATATGGCAACATTGCATCTAGGGCGCTTTGTTCATATCGTAGCCGGCTGACGTCAGCCGGTCAGTAACAGCCTGAAAAGGCGGTTAAATAATGATTTGAAAATATTTTTTTCAGCTTAAATATGCATTTATTTTTTTTATTAATCACGCCATCGTATTATACTCATTTTTCTCTATCTGCTCTTAAAATTAATGACATTATGACTGAATCACTCTGTATAACTGAGTGAGTTCACAACTGATCTTGATTTTCTTTCCTATTGAATCATATGATTTTGCATTTCATAAACAATTATCTAAGTAATTAATAAAAAGTTATTATGATGATTGGCATAATTAAATAGGTACAACTGATCAATTCTCTAATCCATTCAGTGCCTGTTCGTTTGTTTTTTTTTTTTTTTTGGGTTAAGGTGAAGAAACAAGTTAATGAATATTGTAGAACAATAATAAAAAACTGAATTTTACACTGAAATCACACTAAGAATGGTTTCTATTTATCACACTGATGATTGTAAAAAAAAGTTCCAAAAGTCAGTGGCGTAACTACCATAGAGCAAAAAGCAGCGGTGCATGGGAACCAGGCCACTAGGTGGCTCTATCATATCCGATTGATTTCATCTGAAGAAATTTCTTTTAGTTTCTACAGATTTTGTAGACATAATTTAATACCTTTAATAGGTGTATTATGTAAACTAAAAATACATTAGATTCCCACACTTCCCACACTTCCAGAACACAGGGTGTTAGAAGTTTGACTGCTCTAATTTTAACATAAGATAGAATACATTAAAGTAAACAATAAAACCTTATATGACATGGATCCTAAACTCAACCATTTCCGAGAAAAAAATAACAAAAACCCCAAACTGGAAAAAAGTTCGATTAATTAAGGAATATTGACATAACTGCGTGCATAGAATACCATAAAATACAATGTTTATCACTTTTTTAACTTCTTTATGCTTAATTCTAAAAAATAATTAACGTTGTAATAAATTTAAAATTCGATAAAATTCATATCGAGCAATGTGACAACGGCGCGGCGGTTAACACGAAGTACTAAGGTGTCCAGCAACCACAAATACGCAATTCAGTTGGTGTGTGGATTCGACCTTGTCGAAGTGTTTCTTGCGCACCACTATTTCCTTTTCTTGAGGTGTTTTCCAGCGAGTGCGCGAAAATTGGATTCGAAGGTGACGTTTGTGCATCGAAAATGGTGGTGGATATTTTAAGGATATGTTGTAGTCTGTTTTGTACGTGTGCGTTTAAAAGTTACTGAATTTCGCTTTTTGGTAAGTACCTACCTAAATTATTTTTAATACGTATGACTATGGCGGGCGACGTGAATCTTTCGGTATTTTAATTACATATTTGTCAAATACCTAATTTAATTGAAAGTTAAGTTCCTGTTTTAAGAGACTTCTAGCTAAAATTTAAGTCCAACGCTATCTTCATACTACAAAATCGATACATTTTATTTTATTCATTTAAAAACTGGAAAACAATTAATTGTCTTGAAATTTACTAAATGTTTCACAGTAATAGTTGTTTACATTTTTTCCCTAGGATAAGTCTGCCGCGTGCACACATGTTGTGTATCCGCAGGTTAAGCGCTGTTGTCACGTTGTGATATAACTCCCCAATATTAATACTCGCAGTATTTTGAAAACTGTTAGTATTACGCCCCTGTAACATATAACTTTTTTATTCATTTATGATTACTCTGTTTCTGAACTAATGGCAGTCAAACTTCTTACATCCTGTATATCACCTCCGATGGAGGGCGATTGGGCAAGGTGACGACCACACTCTCAAGCGTCCATTGAGGTTGGCGTCCTAACGGACGTGTGTTAATATCCTATTTGTCCCTTTGTCGGCGAGCAAGATACGAGAATCCCAGCATCGCAGGCAATACATGGGGATCTCGGTTGTGCTCATATTAGAGGTAATTCCCGAATGAATGGAACTTTCTATGGATATGTCTGAGTATAGTTGCCGTTTTTTCTTGAACATATCGATTTTGATTGGCTCGTTATAGCAGTACATGATCTAAACCATCCAAATTGGCTTTTGGTGATTTTTTATATTTATTATGCCGAGTGTGGATCGATGAGGATCATTTGCAATATTTATCCCTAGCTTCATAATGATTTTCACTGTATTTACACTAACGTCAGCGTGCCTTGCAACTTTTTCTTACACCTTTCACCAAATAATATGCTATTTTTTGCCTCTTTTATCACATATTTAAATATACTAGGTACAATTTCACTACCTTCTAAATTTTTACGGTTCGCAATTGATTTGAATTCCATAGTTCAAACAACTTTATTTCAGACTGTTCGATGTCGGGTGCTGGTCTGGTATTTAATAAGTGTTGAAAATGCTGTTTTTGAGATCACGAATAAAAAAAGTATTATATCTCCATATGGAAATATTATTTTTTCTTCTCATATAATTTTATGTTGAATTTAATTTAAAATGAACTAATGTAGAATCTATTTATTATTTTGTCAGTTCCTTCTGCATAGCAATACTTACATGCATTGTGCTTAAAATTGCTACTGATATATATAGAAGTAAAATGTTATCATTTTATTTTAGTTTTTTAAATTTTGTTAGTATGTACAACACATGTTTTGGTAGGTATATGGAATGACATGTTAGCAGTTTCTGTTTGCTGCTCTTTATGTTTTTAAAAATCTATAACAAATTTAAAGTTGATAATATGTATCTAGTATAAAAATTAATTGAATAATTAATTAACAATTAATTTAATTAATTAATTTAATTTAATTTAAGAAATTAATTGATTTAATTGAAAATGAATGTTCCGCATTTTTTGCAAAGCTTTTCCAAAACATCATTTCACACATTTTTTGTTTAAACTTATATTCGTTACCGCCTCTTTTAATTTATTGGATTGGGAGTGGAGCATGTTGTATAAACTTACAATTGAAGTTAAGGGTTCATTGTGCACGAGTCGTCAGTTCAAATCAGTTTAAATAGAATATTATTGGAAACCACTCCGAAAGGAACTGTTTCAGACACGCGAATGTAGGCAGGTTTTTTTAAATGAACCTTAAACGTATAAAAAGGCGTAGAACTCGATTGAACAGCTATAGAGGGATGATATTTACAGGCATCCGTCTGGACTTTTTATGTCTAAATCTACATTATCAAAGTTTTATTGTAAATTTGAAGGCGTCAGGAAATCCATGACACTTTTTATATAGCTGATTAAAGTGTTTTTACTTTCGGCACATGGGTCGTTCCATTTTCTCTGCAACTGTTTTTTGGAATTTCTGGTGGAATAAATGTTCAGTTCTTAACAAATTACACAAGCATACAAAACAAATGTCCAAATCCAAGAGATGCACATATCATTTCCAAAGGAACTCGACGCGCTGAATATAATCCTGTAGTAAAAAGTCATAATTTACCGATGAATTCAGAGGAAAGTGAAACTTTTGGTTGAAAACGCCAAAAACTGATTTTTTCCTAAATTTTGTCCTAATATAATTATCAATTTCCTAGTATTTTGAAGGGCTGAACACGATGCCATTAGTAAAATTTACCCATGACCTCGATATTTCTCAGAAAATTCTCTATTTCTGTGAAAACTGATCCAAATATGGGTCAAAACTGATTAATCCTAAATTTTTTCCAGACATATAATTTTGGAAGAATTTGGCCAGTTTTCACTGAAATACTGGATTTTCTAAGAAATATCGAGGCCAAATTATACATTTGGACAAAATTTAGGAAAAAATCAACAACTTGTATTAGGGCGTTTTCACACAAAAATTTCACTTTTCTCCGAAACTCATCGGTAACTCATGAATTTTGCCTACAGGATCCTACAGTGGGTAGCCAAATTATTAGGGACAGTACTCAGTTTCTTCTATTTTCTAGTTTGACTGAATTTTTTGAACAAACAGTTGGTCCTATGGCTTGTAGCTATTTTCTTGATTCAAAAGAATGTATTATTAAGATCACGAAAACAACAAGTTACGTGGGCGAAACTATTAATTTTTTTCGTAAAAGCTGTATGTGCATCACTGGAAATCTGGTATAGTTAATCTTAATATTTAATGATGCACCATTTGCTGCAATTAGAGCTTCTATGACTCAAGGCATGCTCTCTATACAGACTCTATAATTCTGTTGGAGTTCGACGTGTTGATGCCATTCTCTGATGAAAGTTTCAACCAATTGTTGCTTGGTGGTGATTACCTCAATAGCAATCGCCCGTTTGGTGAGTTCTCACATGTTCTCTATAGGGTTCATGCCAGGTCAGGGCAAAACGATAATGTCTTTTCCGCCAGGAATGCAGTAACACTCCTGGCTTTGTGGCACGGTGCCGAATGGTGCAAAAAATGCACTCTGCATCACCAGGGAATCTTCGATCTGTGGCAGTAGCCGAGTTTTTAGTACTCGCTTGTACGGATCCTTCCTCATGATCCCTTCCACGATGTATAGGAGCCTTATGACCTTGGCTGGAATGAAAACCATACCATGACACGAACCGGGTATCTAACCCCCACCACAAGCCAGTCTGGATGGATCGACTCTCTCCAAGTCGTCATCGGAGAAATGAAGTTTTGTCGATCAAAATTTGAAACGTTGATTCGTCGGAAAATATTGAGAAAATCTTTATTAATACTATTTTAATTAGTTGTTCTCATTAGAGTGCAGTCTGCAATAGTCCTATTCTGGTGTTGTCAGGCTCATTGCAGCCATATCTTCTTCATGACCTTCATCAGAGGTGGTTTTTTGATCAACAACGACCGATTAGGTCGTTTCTGCCAACCACCTTCGGACTGTCATTTGGGAAACTACAATTCCTACCTTTGTTTATTACAGTAATCCTATTCGAAATATCAATAACGTTTTGTGACAGGAAAAACTCACGAAAAACGATTCAGAAATATTTTTTAGCATCTCTGTGAAACAACAGTTTGTAACAAACTACCACCATACGGAGAGTAATCCCACTTATCTGATAAATGATGCAGGATACCAGGTTGCCACTCAACATAAATATTAATAACAGTACCAGCTGAAATACAAAATAAAAAAACCTTGTGAACATCTATTGTTTTTTCAAAAAAAGAATTTGAAGTAGAAACTCCATAAATGTGAGTATTGTCCACCCACTGTATTTAGCGCATCAAATTCCTTCGGAAATGATATGTGGGTCTCTTCTGGGTTTGGAAATTTTTTTTGTGTGTTTGTGTTATTGTAGCCGAAGGCAGTAGGTTATCAGAGCGTCAGTAAAGCACGAGTCCCCCATCCTTTCCGTTGCTTATTTGATGAAATAAGAAAATATTAATTCGTTATTTCAGTAAAAATAAATGAATGATAAATAGACAATTTGGCAAACCCAAGTATAATCTTTAGACGTAAATGCCTATTACTTTAACGGGTCACTATTTAGTGTATATTTTTCTAATTTCAATAATAAAATTATTACCGGTATTGAACTACACCAGATTCATGGGGTCAAAATTAAAATATTTAACTAAACTTATCTCTATCGATCAGTTCCTATGACCACGTAAGACTTAAAAACTTCAAACCTATACTCTAGGGCAAGGGTCGGCAAGTAATTTTAGGTGAGGTCCGGACACTTTTGAAATTTTTTAACGAGATCCAAACAAAATTCTTGCTAATTTTTTATTTTCATTTGCACTCAAATTTAATCTGCTTACTAACCATTAAGTTACTAACTCAAATCAGTCGCAATTGTAAAATATTAGAAAAAATTATAAAAATTTATTTGAGTAATTTATACTTTCAAAACATTTTTGGCGGTCCAGTATTTTACCTTCCGCGATCCGGACCTGGACCGCGGTCCGCCAGTTGCCGACCGCTGCTCTAGGGTTTAAAGAGACAATCGTATCTGGCGATAACTGGAACTGTCAGCTCTGGACATTCCTCTGGACTTGCATTTTCATATATTTTTGGGAAGAGAAGCCAGGTAGGCAGTATAAATATAGTATATGGGATACGACTATTTAACTTCTTGAGACCGAGTAGCTAGTAGTTTTAAAACTTCAGAAGGTGTTGAAGCTGTGTCGAATTACCAGAAGGCTCTCGCGCGATGGCGACATAATAACAGAGTGATTCTGGTTTGAATCATCATCACGATGATGAAGATAATGACGCTGACGATGATGACGATGATGATGATGATGATGATGATAATGATGAGGATGATGATGACTTGGAATCAGAGACTATTAGGGAACGTCTCAGAGAACCTCAAGCGATTTTAGAACCGACGATGTGTGTAATAAATGGAAAGAAGTCTAAAATTAAAGTTGAACATGCGCTTATCAAATGTTCGTGTGCAGCGGGTAAAGCGGATGCAAAAATCGGGTTTAGCGGGTGAAGCGGTGAAGATTGTTCTTTCGAAAATCAGAGAAAAAAGTGCAGGCATCACTTTTCTGTTACGTGCCGATTTTGCAAATATTTTCCTCGCGTTCGGTGCAAATTCAACATTCAACAGGTTGGAGAAATAGCCAATAGGAGTCGCGGATTACATTTTTCATTTCCAATTAAAATTATTAATTATGTTTACTCAACTATCAAATAAAAATTTCAGTGTATACTAAATGAACAATAAGAATTGAAATGAACATTAGGGGGTCTGGGCAATGGGTATTCTAACAGCAGGCCATCCTCCACAGAGCCTAGTCCGAAAACAAGTGCAATGTAAGCCTGTAACGTATGGCGACGACCTGGTACACAGACCAAGGCATATCAATCCGAAAAACTATGATACTTTAAATATCAGCAAGGGACGAAGCTTTAAAACCACCAAAACTGGCCTATTCTCTATACGCCATACTAGAGATAATTATATAATTCTAAGAAATGCATTACAATTTATTATCAATCAGGTCAGGATCTGCGATTTCTTCACCGGAAAGAAAATATTTCCTCGTAAAAACTTCTTTAAGGGTATTTTCGGTCTTTGAGTTTCCGCCTTCATTTCTAAGAAATACAAGGTGGCCCACCGGGAACTGTGTCGATCGATATCTAGGAAAGTATTGCTCCGAAAAATTTGAAAATTTGGCAACATGGCAATGTCCCTAGGGTGAACACAACTAAAATATCTAGAACTTTCCAGCACTTTCGGTTAGACCGGAAGTCGACACCAACTTTATTTTAAATGGGTTTACTGCATTTTCGGATTCTACGTGAAATTTGAGGGTCGCTTTATTAAATATTCCCTATACCTAGGAGTTATGGATTTTGAGATATTAATTTTTAAAGAAAAAATTTGACAGATGCAAGGGTCCGCGGAGATGCTAGTAACTCTTTTCAGGAGCATTATATCATGCAGATTTTTGGTACCTGTAAAGGGTATAGGTAACGCTAAATTATGGTATACCAACAAATTAAAACATTTACTATGTGTTTTATTTTTGCTGTTACATTTTGATAACTTTGTTAACTTAACCCTGAATCTTTTTACCCTGTCGTATGCAGATTGAAATTTCCTTTCAATCCAAATAAGCATTGTTATTACTTTTAGGCCATTACTACTTTTAGGGATATTTGCAATTCTCTATTTTTTGACACTTTTACTCGTATCAGACCTGTTGTCAAATTGTCCATGACCAGAAACACTCCAAAACAATTAAAATAACTTGACATTTACCAATAGTTTTTACTAAAAATTTAAATAAAAATGCCTGAGGATCGATTAAATTATACTTATGAGGATTATTTTAATTTGTTTGTTATTTATGGAAAAAAGTAGCAGATTCTCTACCTGTACTTGAAATTACTTTGTCACATTTTCCATAAATAAACAAATTAAAATAATCCTCATAAGTATAATTTAAATGATCCCCAGGCAGTTTTATTTAAATTTTCAGCAGAAACTATTACAGACAATAATTTGACAATTAACTTGACAAATGTTATTTTAATTGTTTTGGAGTGTTTCTGGTTATGACCAATTTGACAACAGGTCTGATACGAGAAAAAGTGTCAAAAAATAGAGAATTGCAAATATCCGGCAACCCTAACAATGATTTGAAAAGAAATTTCAATCTGCAAACAACAGGGTAAAAAAATACAGGGTGTTTTATTTAAGTTAACAAAGTTATAGCTGTTTGAAGTTATAAAAATGTAACAGCAAAAATGAAACACCTAGTATTAAATGTTTTAATTTGTTGGTATACCATAATGTAGTGCTACCTATGCTCTTTACAGGTACCAGAAATCCACTTGACATCACGCTCCTGAAAAGAGTTACTAGCATCTCCGCGAACTCTTGCATCTGTCAAATTTTTTCTTTAAAAATTAATATCTAAAAAACTATAACTCCTAGGTATAGGGAAAATTTAATAAAGTGACCCTCAAATTTCATATAGAATCGAAAATGCAATAATATATAGGGTGTCCCATTTACAATAACGATGTTGGTGTCGATTTCCGGTATAACCGGAAGTGCTGGAGAGTTCTAGATATTTTAGTTGTGTTCGCCCCAGGGACGTTGCCATGTAGCCAAATTTTCAAATTTTTCGGAGCAGTTCTTTCCTAGATATCGATCGACGCAGTTCCCGATGGGCCACCCTGTGTAAATAATAACGATGGGTTCTTCTAAGCTTGATTGAATTTTTATCCTAATCATGCTTGCCAAATGCACTACACTGGAAATTGAGAGACTAATACTTCTTCCTGTGCATCAATTAGTTTATAAAAGTTCGGCATTTGTTCCGTTTCTTGGGAACATAACTCAAATTATAATTTAAATTAGAATGCTCGTCGGATTTTGATCTACTTTCTGCTATTCAAAACGGTCTCATTTAAATGGATGTAAAGCATAAAAGTTCATACTAATCAGAACTTCTTTTCAAAAACCTCTGAATATATTTCATTACACTCCAGATATTTTTTACCTTGATATTATTTTGTTTCCATTGGAAGCCTTTGATTCTAATAAAGTACTAGAAAATTAAATTCAGGAAAATAGATATCTACGCCTGTAGATATATAGTTTCATTCAAAACAGAATTTTGTTGTTTAAATGTGACGAAAATAATAAGGTTGAGAAATACTAATAATATAAGTGGAAAAGAAAGACAGTATAAATGAAATGTATAAGTAGATTTCTATGAGTTTATTACTTGTAGATTAAATGAAATACTGGTTTGTTTTTGGTATTGAATTATATTATCAAATAGGGGTCCCAAGGACATACACTTGATGAAAAGTTCCGTAACATATTTCATTCTATAGCGATACCAAAAACGAAATGAATAATCTCAAACTGGTTTGACAGATGTAAAGTGTCATTATTGCCTGATTCTAAAAAATCGTCCTTTAATCAATTTCTTTAAAGATTCTTCAAATGTATCAATTCCCGGATTGGTTACTACGTTGTTGGTTGACGTTTTAAGAGGCATACCGCTCTCTTCTGAAGAATCTCTGAAATTGGAGATTAAGTCAGATGGTTGGTGCTTATATTTGCTGTTCCACGAAGTTCCAACCCTTCATCTTGACGTTTTTCTGATGGCTCATTCGATATTCCTCTTCGCATATCAATTTCCCCTAAAAGCAATTCCTCGTCTAAGTGTTCCGGTTCGCAGATGGCCCGTGATTGTTGTATTGCTAGATGTTAATGCAAGATAAAGTGTATTTCAAGTTTTAATTTCTTTAGACTATGAGCAAGCATTAGGGATTATGGATAACTTCTTTGTTTCTTTTTCTAAATAGTTGACAGAGAGCTCTCTGTCTTAGAGTTAGTGACAGTGTTGTACCTTCTACAGTGAATGCTAATATTAATTAACCTTAAGTCCGCTCGAGAATATTCATATGAGTTACGTGAGTTCTCAGCAAGCAACCAATTAGTAGTTAATTAGGGAACTTTGCTGCTAGTTATCCAACAGTTATAACTGCAAGTTATTGTCCAGAATCAGTGAGGAAATATCTAGGATGCTCCGGAACTTATTTAACTATGTGAATATCTCGAAATTATACATTTTATACATCATTAGTGGTACTAACTTTATACTTCAATATACGTCACAGGTAATTTTATTATTAATTTCGGATACTGATGGATCTTATCTTATATAGAACATGAGAAAATATAAATCCGATAACGATAAAGAGAATACTTATGAATAGTTATGTAAATATATTAGTTCCAATGTTTTTAGTACCGATTAAGACTTGGTTAATCACTCTATTAGATTGTGTGCAAATATATGTGAGTACAGTTATTTGATGAGTTAATCAAGCCCTTATCGGTACTTAAAACTAAGTTGTTATTAATTACAAACTATACAGGAATAGTTATGAAAGAGTAGAGACTTTATTTGGGAAAATATATGGAATGACAGCAATATTACAACTAATTTTACAAGACATTTTTCTTCAAGAAGCAGTTCTTTTGATTTATAAAAGCTCTATGATTCTTCAAATTGTGAAAATGGGTTAATTTTTCAAAAATTACGGGGGATGTGTACTTAAAATTTGACAAAATTCCTTTATAGTATCGATCTACATGTAAAATTTAAAGGAAAAGTAATCAGTAATATTGGAATTATATGTGATTTGAAGGTTCTCAATTTTCAAAAATAGTTATTTGTCGCTGGCCATTGAAAATAAATAGATTTTATTTGCTTAAATAATTTTCACTTAAAATTTTCGGGTATCTTGATTATTTTACGTAGAATGCAATGTTCAAAGTTTTCAAAAATTACAATGTTAAGGCCGCTACTGAAAATTAGTATAACTTAAAAGTTTTGTAAAAATTCTTGTTTATTTGAGTTAATACACGGAAAACTCCTTTATATAATATTTATTTAAGATCATTTATGAAAATTATGGGAAACAATCACAATTTTTACACATAATTCAGTCAAAACAAGAAAAAAATAATTACCTCAGATTTCCTGCTATTGAAGAGAATTAAGTTAAATCAATTTGATCAGAAACTAGAGGGTGTCCCATAAGAAACGCAGGATTTCATATGAGGAAAAAAGATTTTATTAATTATTAAAAAGTTGACAGTTTTTACATGTTTTCAACATTGCCATTAAATATGAAAGAAGATATCGGATAGACATCCACCGCGACTTATTTGTCATACTCAACTTCTTTTAAGAAAATTATGTATCACGTTTTCGCATACCTGCAGCTGAATTTCGTTGATAATCCTCCGAATGTCTCTGCCTTTAATTCAGAAATGGTATTCGTTTCATCAGAATAAACTTTGGACTTTACGAAGCCCACACTGTTACGTTCATTAAATTTCTATCGTAACAA